TGAGGCATGTTGGCAAGAGGAGGCAGCAGTCACACCCAGTCCTTGGCCTCTGTTGCTACTCTATTAACTCCCTTGTGTCCAGGAGAGACCCACAGTGATGCTCTTATCTTTCACACAGCTGTATCTAGAAGGAAGATTCCTGAGGACAAGGATGTAACTTTTATAACTGAAGCACCAGCTTCAAGGTACCCACCATTTATTTATCTTCCATCTCTGACCCTACATAGCTACAACGGAGTCAGTCCTCCTCCCACGACAGACAAGTCTGAGTCCTTGGAATAGCTAACAGAAGACAGTAAGGCCAGTCAACGATGCTGGCAGTTAGATGGGCAACATTATCCTCACAGAACTTGAAAACACACCATGCAAGTGTATCTTTTTAACTCTCCCTAGGACTAGATAGGAGTTGGCCTTTCCCAGGTGGTCAGGGAAAACAATGTTTTATTTTTATTTTTATTTATTTATTTATTTATTTTTGAGACAGGGTTTCTCTGTGGCTTTGGAGGCTGTCCTGGAACTCACTTGGTAGACCAGGCTGGTCTCGAACTCACAGAGATCCACCTGCCTCTGCCTCCCAAGTGCTGGGATTAAAGGCGTGTGCCACCAACGCCTGGCCTTTTTATTTTTTTTTAAGAATTTTTTTTTAAAGATTTATTTCCATGCCGGGCGTTGGTGGCGACGCCTTTAATCCCTGCACTCGGGAGGCAGAGGCAGGCGGATCTCTGTGAGTTCGAGACCAGCCTGGACTACCAAGTGAGTTCCAGGACAGCCTCCAAAACCACAGAGAAACGCTGTCTCGAAAAACCAAAAAAAAAAAAAAAAAAAAAGATTTATTTCCAGTGTGGTGGTGGTGCACACCTTTAATCCCAGCACTCAGGAGGCAGAGGCAGGTGGATCTCTTTGAGTTCGAGAACAGCCTGGTCTACAAGAGCAAGTTCCAGGCCTGCCAAAGCTACACAGAGAATCCTGTCTTGAAAAACTAAACAAACAAAACAAAAACTATTATGTATAGTGTTCTGCCTGTATGTGTGCCTGCACACCATAAGAGGGCGCCAGATCATTACAGATGGTTGTGAGCCACCATGTGGTTGCTGGGAATTGAACTCAGGACCTCATGAAGAGCAGCCAGTACTTTTAACCTCTGAGCCATCTCTCTGGCTGGGAAGAAAAAGTTTTCAATGGATGGCTAAGTTAACGATTATGCTATAAATTGCTGGGCAGTACTGGCATATACCTTTGGTCCCAGAACTCAGAAGGCAGAGGCAGGTGGATCTCTTGTGAGTTAAAGGCCAACCTGGTCAACAAAGTGAGTTCCATGACAGCCAGAGTGGTTACACAGAGAAGCCCTGTCCCAGAAAATAAAACAAAAAAACATGCGTGTGCTGGGAACTGAAGTCAGTCATTCTTGGGCTGGGAGTGTGACTTACTGCTTCAGTGCATGCAGAGCCTTTCATGTACCCAGCACTTCAAAACAAAGAACAACACTTCCAAGCGCACAAACAGCCTGTGGCCGGCCCATCACATGGGCAAGACCGAGAAGGCTCACTAACACATTAGTTTGGCAAGCTCACACATTGCTACTGAAGAAATAGGTTGAGTTTTCTATTTTGTTTGTTTTTCTGGTTTTCTCTGTGGAATAGCTCTGGCTGTCTTAGAATTCACAGAGATCTGCTTGTCTCTGGCTTCTGAGTGCTGGGATTAAAGGTGTCCATCACCACTGCCCAGCAAAATAGATTATAGCCTGTTTTATTTTATTCTAAGTTATACTTTATTTTTTTGAGACAGGATTTCATGAAGTCTAGGCTGGCATGGAACGCCCTATGTAGCCAAGAATGACCCTGAACAGGACCCTGATCTTCTTGTCTCCACCTTCTAATACTGGGACTAGATGTTTGAGTCTGTATGCTAGACAGTACAACCTCTTTTAAAGATGGCTTGAAATTCAAATTTTAAAACTCACAAAGCCAAGTTGCACACGGCAGCCACACCTCTTAATCCCAGCACTTCGTAGTTAGAAGGGAGCAACCTTGTGAGTTCAAGGCCAGCCTGGTCTACAGAGTCCCAGGAAATTACAAAGTGAGACCCTGTCTCAAAGAAAAACAGACAAAAACAAAAAACATAGAAAGCCATTGGCCCGCACTTGAGAGGCAGAGGCAGGCGGATCTCTGTGAGTTCGAGGCCAGCCTGGTCTACAAGAGCTAGTTCCAGGACAGCCTCCAAAGCCACAGAGAAACCCTGTCTCAAAAAACCAAAAACAAAACAAAACAAAACAAAAAACCCAAAACAACAACAACAAAAAATAGAAAGCCATTGGCCCAACAACTTACTTTTTAGAAGCTTAGGCTATAAATAAACCTTATACATGCAGAGGAACACACCACCTACACCAAGTTCCTAGTAATGGATTTTTTTTTTTTTTTTGGGTTTTTCGAGACAGGGTTTCTCTGTATTGTTTTGGAGGCTGTCCTGGAACTCACAGAGATCTGCCTGCTTTTGTCTCCCGAGGGCTGGGACTAAAGGCGTGCACCACCACCGCCCAGCTTTAGCAATGGAATATTAATTACAGCTCTGTTCTCAACTCATTGCTCTAATAATTATACAGAGCCAGGCCACTTATGAGGCAGAGGAAGGCAGATCTCTGAGTTGGAGGGCAGCCTGATCTAAAGAGTGAGTTCTAAGACAGCCAGGGCTATTGCCCAGAAAGTCTGTCTCAAAAAACAAAACAAAAACAAACAAAAAATTATAAAAATAATCAGAAATGCCTGAATATTCTGAAGGCATCTAACCCAGAGTAAATCCATGTATCTTTAAAATCCTTCCTAAAAGCATCTTGTAGCAACTGCTGGTCTTGTTGCTCACCCAAGTACCTGCAGGAAGGACTTACAGTTACAGGCCCGGTGGATACCATCCATAATGACAGGGCAGGTCAGGCACTAGTATAAGGACATTGGCCACACTGTGCCCAGTCAAGCACTGGGCTCAGCTGGCGTTCATGTTCATGACTTATTCATGTAAAACCAGCAACTTCCCTAAAAGACAGTAAGAATCACAGGCATGAGATGGCTCAGAGGTTAAGTGCACTGGCTGCTCTTCCAGAGGTCATGAGTTCAATTCCCAGCAACCACACGGTAGCTCACAACCGTCTATAATGGGATCTGGTGCCCTCTTTTGGCATGCAGGCACACATGCAGGCAGGACACTATATACATAATAAATAAAATCTTTAAAAAAATCACAGGCACACTGTGAAGTGATCATAAAGACCAGTTAGACTCTTGCCTAGACAGCTGCTTATCAAATTCCTACAGAAGTCGGGCGGTGGTGGCACATGCCTTTAATCCCAGCACCCAGCCCTCGGGGAGGTACAGACATCAGCCTGGTCTACAAGAGCTACTTCCAGGGCAGCCTCCAAAGCCACAGAGAAACCCTGCCCTAAAAAAAAAAAAAAAAAAAAAAAAACCAAACATCTGAGCTGGAATGCTTCAAACTGCATCACTGCTACACAAACTCTCTTTAGCTGGGTCTCTGCCAGTCAAGCCCCATGAAGAATAGGTTCAAAGTTCATGCACTTTGCCCTTTCCTTAATGAAACCTGCCCAATCTGCATCTCACAACCATTTTGTTTAGATATTATCTGCAGATTTTGATCCAGGACTCCTAAGGCTAGAATATGAGCAGATCAAAGTGACTCTCTATTCTGGTTCATGGAGGGAGTACCCTGAGCTGGGAATGTGGCATTTATATCATACTATTGTAGCAAAGGGTCTTAAAGCTGTCGTTTAGTTCTGTCCAAGTTACAGCTGAGGGACCTAACTGGGTTTCCTTCGTCACTTCCTTTTCTCCTAGGGCTAGCTACAATTCCACTTCCTGTTGGGCCTAAGAAAGGCTTGGATGCGAGGCCCAGTGTAAGCTCCTGAGCCTGACTTGAGTTTTGGACTCAGATGTGAGGCCCAGTGTAACTTTCTGAGCCTGGCTAGAGTTTAGCAACCTGTCTCTAACCTGTAACCTCCACGTGGGGGTCACTCAGGCAGATCTGATGCAAGATTGCCCCCTGCCTAGCTACCTGCCTGCTTGGTGGAATACTATTGACCCTTAACTCCTCACCTTACCCTATCCCAAGTTTCCCATCCCCTACCTCAGTCCTATATAAGTTCCTGTGTTGGAATAAATCGAGATCCTGCTTTGACAGACTCCTGACTGTCTCCTCCTGTGTGGTTTTTTCTCCCTGGTAACTAATGGGGGAAGGGTCTGAGTCGTCGACACTCACCATCCCACTCAACCCCCCCCAAGAGGCCAGCTGGATCGGCAATCCCCCCACCCCCACCTGCAGGGAGGACCCTGCAACTTCCTGCTTGGGAGCCTCGCACTTCTGGGAGTGGCTGAGATCCAGGATATCCTAGATCTTGTTACACCAGCCGGCAGCTTTCCTTTGGTGCCTGCCTCCTTATGGGTCAAAGGCTTCCTACAAGCTGTGCACACGCATTCCCAGCTCCTAGAACTACCAAAGAGTAAAGCTTCTAGAGCTTTCCTCTTCTCTCATTGGATCTCCTATATAGTTTTTGTTTTGGGTTTTCAAGACAGGGTTTCTCTGTATTGTTTTGGAGGCTGTCCTGGAACTCACTCTGTAGACCAGGCTGTCCTGGAACTCGCTCTGTAGACTATGATGGCCTCGAACTCAGAGATCCACCCGCCTCTGCCTCCCGAGTGCTGGCTGACAACCCCAGTTCAACTCCTGAGTCAACAGTGACCAAGTCCTCCACATGTGTGCTGTGAAATGTAATTTAACTTCCTTTTTAAGCTGCATGGGTGCGGGAGGATGATGACTGGAATCCCATCGAATGTGACAGTGCTAGCAAGTAGGAGACTGATGCAGAAGAGCACCAGTCAAAGCCAGGAAGCGCACAGAGTCAGAGACCAGACCACACTACACAGCCAGACTCTGTCTGAAACAACAAAGACACAGTATATTATCAGTGCAAGGATATTTAAATAAGGCACAAGTCAACTTTCAAATGTTTTATTTTTAGTGTTTTAAAACATTTTAATACAACAAAGATACAAAATAATATATTAGTTAAATCTGGATTTAATTTAGAATCAGGTATTTACTTATATACAACACTGTGCTTCAAGGTATGGCTACCACAGGAACTTTCATATCTTCAAGTAACACTAGTTTCTCTGTGGACAGGGAGACCTTTAGGTAGAATCCCCAAACTAAACAGGCCTGGCTTAGCCCAGCAAACTGCTTCTCTTCTGAGTACCAAAGTTCCTTTGTTCGTATCAGAAACATTTCATTGTTCTAACCCTAACCCATGAATTCTTCAAATGAAAAACTATTAAAATTAAACATTTTAAAGATGTTAATAGCAGGCTGTTTAGTTTTTCAGAAAATCCAGTAGTTCAGATTAAAAGAGATGTGAAATAACAATGAAAAACAAAAAAAACAACAACTCCATAACATTCCTTCTCCTGTCAAAGCACAAAGCTTCCTTATGCCAAGACAAGAAATACACAGAATAAAGAGTCCTTTGATTAACATACAGTAAATGTGTCTCAAAAACTACTTAATGTAGCTGGAGAAACAGTTTAGAGTTCATGGACATTTGTACTGAGTTTGATACAATAATCATCACATTGTTTTGAGAAATTAGTGCCACTGACTTGACAAACCGACACTTCCTTCTACAGGAGTTTATTCATGTAAAGCTATTCACAAAGAGAAGAAACAAACAGATCCCTCTCTTCCCATGGGTCAGCCGAAGCTGTCTGAGCTTCAAAGGGATCTAACAGTCCCCAGCTGTGGAGGCATAGGGGCGAATGAGGCCAAGCTCTCTTCTGAATAAACATCAACTGTCAAAACTGTCATGTAAAGTTGTCATTAAAACTGACATGCTTTGGTGGCTTTCACTGTATGAAGAAAAGCAAGTAAACTATTCTAAAGAATTTTCTGTCTCCAAAGTCTGAGACCATAAAGAACTGACAGGTGGCTGACTAGACCATCACTGTTTTCATTATAGGCTCTCTCTCTGTCTACAAGACTATCAAATCAGCAAGTGTATTAAATCAGAGAGTCTAAGAATGCATCCTTAGGCATTGTGGGTCTAGAATCTTTAAGTGATAAAACTGCTTCTTGCTGAATAAAAACAAAACAGGTTTTTGTCATGAATTTGAATTTAATCCCAGTATGGGAGGCAAAGACAGGTGGATCCCTGAGTTCAAGGCTACCCTGATCTACAGACTGAATTCCAGGACAGCCCAGGCTACACAGAGAAACCCTTCCTGAAAACAAAAAACAAAAACAAAAAAACAGACAAACAAACAAAAACAACAACAACAAAGGGTTTTGCACAAATGTTCCTAAAACAGACAGCTTCTTCTCTGTTATAAAGGGATTTATTTCACTCCTCTGTTCTCCACGTATACACCACAGATTTTTGCGAATTCTCAGTCACAACACAGGCAGCTAGGGCAGGGCCATCACCCCTCACAGTGTCAATGCCATGCTCCTGGCAGTGGTTTTTCTTGGCTTGGAAGACTTTAAAAGCATAGAGTACTTTTGCCACAGCAATTCTGCTCAGAGGGAACTGGAGGATAGCCTCACTGGGAACTGCAACAGACAAAAAAAGGTCTCTGCCAGAGTATGTGGTGACATGTGCAAGCTAATCTTCCTTAAAACCTCCTTCCTGTCCTACCAGCTTCAAGAGCAGAGCACTCACTCGCCTGGCACACACACAGCCCCAGGTCGAGCACCACAGGGAGGGGAACAACCCTGTTCCTAGAACACAGGCCATTCAGAAACCAGGACTTCACACAGAACCCTGCTCTGCATCCCATAACTCGAGCCCTTCCTTCTTCCTTCCTTCCTTCCTTCCTTCCTTCCTTCCTTCCTTCCTTCCTTCCTTCCTTCCTTCCTTCCTTCCTTCCTTCCTGTAGTAAGCTGTCAAGGGTGAAAGCCTTGTACAACTGCAGAATCAAATACAAGGTTCAAAAGCATGGGCCTGCCTCTCCCCCCATCCACATCAAGCCCAAAATGTAAACATAAATTCTATCTTCACCAAAGTTAAGATTTCAACAAGAGGAAAGGTACAGTGTCAAAACCTGAAAAATAATTTTGTCTCTGATGATGATTAACTCATGTAAACGAGGTCCCACAATAGGTAATACATTATAATCTAGCTTACCTTTTCCTCTAAAAAAAATGGGAGTAACTTCAAGGCCACTCACAATTCCCACTCACAATCCCCACTGCAGGCTGCTGCTAGGCACTTGCCACCAACAGTGCCAAAAAGCTAGCGGCATTTACTTTCCTGTTTTGATCTACGATAGAATCCACATGGAGGAGAGAAGCCTGATGTTAATACATTTACCATTAATGTAGTGAACATTTTAAAGTTAATGTTGACACATGGTTTTGGAACAGTCTCCCAAAAGTCAACACTAGTTTCCCCCTAGGTAAATTGGGTCCTGCTATGTCAGGGGTGGGGGTGTAAGAGGAGGGGTGGTCATGGCCTCCATGATTATGCAATTTCTTTACATGAGATATTGGCATTTTTGATCCTGGTTTGTAACAGAACCAACAATTTAAAATGCTATAAGATTCTGAAGTATAAGATTTAAAGACACGATCAAACTTGAGTTGCTCACATCATCTCTCAGGTGATAAACAAGTGATGTTTCCAGCAGACTCAGGTTTAAAGCATGGGCTGAAACCTGCTTGCCTAATCTCCCTTTCCTAATTTCACTGGGGTAGCGTCAGGGAGGGTGGGACTATGACTCCAACTGCAATAATGAGCATTTCACCCAAACTGAGAAGACCAAGTTTCTGCTGTGGTTGAACTGTGACCTCAGTATGCCAGAACCTCTCTTCCAAGTCCTTGTTTTAAAATGGAATGTAAAAACTACACAATTAGCATTCTACTTGTTTAAGCTGAAGGTCAATTTCCAATTCTATAACCAGGCTAAGGTAAAGAATAAGTAACAAATTATCCGACAGGTGAAATTAATTACTGATGGTAATTTTCTATGTAAACAGCAGCTAATTTATTTTAGTTCTTGACGGCCAAATTAAGACTACAGAAAGAATGTATATACACAATTATTTTTTTAAAAACAGCAACAAGCTTTTTGTGTCCAAGTATGTCTGACTGCTTACTTTCAATGGCCAAGAATGAGAACTTTCAAGAAAAAACAAAACAAACACCCCAAAGAGTTAACACTATGTCTACAATCTGTAGATTTGTTTTTTCATTGCATGCACATTTACTTATTTACTGACATGAGAACTTTAACATCTGGTAAAACGCTCTTATTTGTCTCACTAAATCACATCAATAAAAAACATTATATTGGCTATCATCTGCCTAACTAACTGTTGCAACACAAATTTATTCCAATACTTACAGCACTCAGACGACACTGTTATTATGAACACAGCCGTTTTCCCTCAAAAATCCTTACTATTATTCACACTGAAGCTTCAAAACAAAACAGGAACTGCACCTATGGTGAAATGCTTTAGTGGGAAGGTCAGTGACACCTGACAGGTGGTCCTCCCAGTCTCTACTTGTTTGATGAAAGCTGCTGTGTTCAATATGTTTTTCTTAGAAATGGTTCAAAGGTTTACCAGTAAGACAGTCACTTCCCACACAGACACAGGTTAGTTCAATGAACAAGTGAGAACAGCTCACTCGGTAGGGGGGAAAAACAGCTTCAAAAAAGATCTCTTGACTTGAGTCCTACTGGAAATCCATCAACCAGCCCAAGCCAATGTGCTTGAGTTCAGAAAGCAAACACTCAACATGCACAGGAAATGGCTGGACATCACCCATCACACCTACAGTGAAGGAAATCTCTCCTGGAGCTCTGTTCAAGCTGCCAGGCAAGGAGTCTTGGTTGCTCTTTCTTGAGTTTTATAGTCACAGCCTTGCTCAGAACAGAAAACCTGTCAACATATATGTCAAAATGCAACATATCCAGGAACAACCTGGGGACAAAGCAAAGTTATTCATTTTCATTCCGTAACTACTGTATATTTAACAAACTCATTACAATGATAATCTTCAACCAATTAGTCTTTTCATTATTGCTGGTTTAGAAAATGGCCAACAATATTCATTAGGTACTGTGCCATTAACATTGCATTCAAAGAAAGAGAACATAGGAAACCAGATTCTCGCTCTCCTGCTCTGGTGATAGGCTCTGGTATTGGCCAGAGTATGGTAGTACAAAAAGAGTCTCGTTGTGATATAAAAGGCAATAAAGACATCAATGGAGTAATGCTCATGGGCAGCCAAGATGAAGAAGATCCCAAAGAGGTTGAGAACCCAGGAGAGCGTGTGCAAGAAATTCCAGCTTCTCGGCGTGTCTAGGAAAAGGACAGAAGGGTCATTTAAAACCACACTTATTCCCATGCATCCTAGTCGCATGCTTCTCAGGGTATGGCGTAGGCTGTTGCTCCCCAACCTGTCCTTCCCTGTTGTTTTGCAACTCTGTCTCATGCAGTCCAGGCTGCCTTAAACTGGATATGTAGATGAACCCGGACTTCTGGGATTACAGGCATATGTCGTTACATGTGTTTACTTTTTTATACTATTTAAAAAATCTTTATTTTGTGTACATTGGTGTTTTTTTCCTGCATGCATATCTGCATGTCTGTGTGAGGGTGTCAGATCCTCCAGAACTGAAGTTGAAAGTCACCATGTGTGTGCTGGAATTTGAACCCAGGTTCTGTGGAAGAGCAGTCAATACTTTTAACTGCTGTGCCATCTCTCCAACCCCATCACACATGTTTCTATGCGTGTCTGTCTTCCTGCATGGCAGGCAAGCACTCCACCGAGTCCCAACCCCAGCCCAGCTCCTATTCTCCCTAGCACTTTCCATCCGCACCACCACTCCTCTGCAGTTGTCTGATATGCACAGAAGCATTAAAGACATACTTACACTCTGTGACAAAGAAATTCAGCATGGTTAGAACAACTGTGTGGCCACTGAACATGTAATCTCCGCAAGTGTGGACACCAGTCAGGGTCATACCAAAGCCACTCCAAATGGCAAACGCTCGGTGTAGTTTCTCCCACACACTTCCATATATCTATAAAGAAAGCTGTGAATTAGTTTTTCAAATGCTTAAAGAGGTTCAGAGCTTCCCCAAATCCATTTCGGGGAATTTGTGAGGAATGATTCAGAAATAAGAGCATTCGGGCAAAGGAAAACAAAATCTGACCCAATTAATTCCAAGTGGGCCCAGAGACTGACCAAAGCTTGACTACACTCAGAAAATGCTAATTAAATGAAATCATAATATTTCAAACTCCTTTATAGTAGAATTTCTTTTTCTTTTTTTCTTTTTTTTGAGACAGGGTTTCTCTGTGGCTTTGGAGGCTGTCCTGGAACTCGCTCTGTAGACCAGGCTGGCCTCGAACTCACAGAGATCCGCCTGCCTCTGCCTCCCGAGTGCTGGGATTAAAGGTATAGTAGAATTTCTTTAAAGTGAAAATGCCAAGCTGGGCATGTAACATATGCTCAACAGGCAGAGGCAGATATCTCCCTGTGAGCCTGAGGCCAGTCTGAGTTCCAGGACAACCAGGGCTGCACAGAGAGACCTCATCTCAAGACAACAACAAAAGTAAACCGTGAAAATGTCAAAGCCAAGGATGATGTCACATGTTCATAATTCCAGCACTTCATAGTCAGAAACAGGAGGATCAAGAGTCCAAGGTTATATTCTTGGTGACATAGGCCAGCCAAGGTTACATGAGATTTCATCTTAAAACAAACACCAACTGTAAAACAAGGACATCTCTAGGTTTCATTTATTTACTCATTTTTCTTGCAATAATGCCCATGTTTAAATCTATATTAAAATCTTTTTCTTTCCCCTTCAAGACAGGGTTTCTCTGTGTAACAACAGCTTTGGCTGTCCTGGAACTCGATTTGTAGACCATGCTGGCCTTGAACCCACCTGCCTTTGCTTTCCGAGTGCTGGGATTAAAGGCATCCGCCACCACCACCCAGCCTTATATTAAAATCTTTTAATAAGCTTCAACTTTCAGGCCAGACATGGTGGTACACGTCTTTAATCCCAACACTTAAGAGATAGAGGCAGGCGGATTTCAGTGAGTTCAAGGCCAGGCTGGTCTACAAAGTGAGTTCCAGGACAGCCAGGGTTGTTACACAGAGAAACACTGTCTCCAAAAAAAGCAAAAATAAGTAAGTGCCAACTTTCTTCAAAACGAAAAAAAATTAGTAAGGAAATAAACCATATTGTAACTCCCAGCCTACCATTTAGTATCTGTTCTCCCTATTTTCACTGGTTACAGAAATACATACATTGAGGAGGCCATGAACTCAGCCAGGGTCATGTCCTCACAGAAAGCTGTAAGCAGAGCGTGGAAGATTTCTAGGAAGGGTGCAGAGACACAAGAGAAGGTCGTCTGCACCACCCCACTTGCCTTCTACCTACAATTCAGACATGGTAACTGAATCTCCAGCAGCCACCAAGGACCACAATGTGGCCTTGCGATGCAAGTCTCAGGACAGTAGAAGAGAAAGACAAAAGACCATGGGGTTTGATGAGCCAATCATAGGAGATATTTTTTTCCATTTTCTTTTGTTTTTTGAGACAGGGTTTCTTTTTATAACCTTAGCTGTCCTAGAACTCACTCTGTAGATCAGACTGGCATTGAACTCAGGTCCTCCTGCCTCTGCCTCCCAAGTGCTAGGATCAAAGGTTACTGCCCCCGCTGGATAATATCTTAATTGAGGACAGGGAACAAGTAGTGCTAGTCTCAAACAATGATCACCCAGACTAAAGTCTTTTCATCTTTTACCATTCTACATCTCTCATACATCCTTCTAGAAATAAACTGAAGCAGAGAAGAATGAATAGAAGGAAGCTGTCTAGACAAGATATGCAAATTAACTCTGGGTTGCTAAATTCCAAAAACAGGAATGTGCTCAGTTGTCTTGGTTCCATGATTTAAAGCCATTAATTTATCAGGGTGAAATGACTATGGATCTCCCTGTAAGGGATTTGGCTGGTTGTTACCCCCATAACGCTCCTACTTTTAAGATTGCTATATATACACTATAGGTCAATAGACAGGCTACATTATACTTCAAAGCAATTAGCGCTATTTAGGGCAGATTTAGATGGAAATATCCACACATAACTAATTAATAGAGAAAAGTCATCGGAGACAGAAAGTGGGCTGTTCACACTGGAGAGAGACATCTGGTTGTTCTTGCAGCACACAAGGCAGCTGTGTGCACAAAGACTCAGCCTTGTCTTCCGTGGCTGTCCCTGATAAATCCCTTCAAGGGCAGGACAGTCTCTTGTCTGCTAACAAGTTTCACAGGAAAGCAAAACGTTCCACCTCAAATATATTCCTTTGATATCTTTGGATCTGGTTATTCAGAAAACTACACTTAGTAATAGCTTTAAAAATCCCTCCTTGTATAAAAAGAAATATTTATCTACATTAGCCAATTAAGCAAAAGACACAAATGCAAAGGCATTCTTTGAAATCTCCAGATCTTTGTAGGAAAGACCTTTAGCAGGAAGCAGAGACTGGGGGCCTGATACCTCCAGACCAGACAGAACTGACACAGGTGTCACCCCATTAAGTAAGAACAGTCACCTCATGGAAACTGGCTTATTCCCTCAAGCAGTAGCAAGAACTGAGGTACAAACCAGACCACACTTAAGACAGTGAGGCCTTACTATGTGTACTTCTTACTTTTACCTCAATTGTCCCTCTGTTTAAACCTACAGTTCATATCAGTGCCCTAAGACTGATTTCGGGGACCACTCGACTCCTCTATATGCTCCTCTCTCCAAAGCAGCCACAATGACTGAATCTCTCTGTCTTCCACCACTGCTAATCTCTTTAACTGCTTCACTGAATTGCTACTCAGTTTAGTCTGCTGGAACTTGGGGAGCAGACTGCTCTTTGGTTAAGAATATGTGCTAGCCGGGCGGTGGTGGCGCAAGCCTTTAATCCCAGCACTCGGGAGGCAGAGGCAGGTGGATCGCTGTGAGTTCGAGGCTGGGCTGGACCGACAGCCTCCAAAACAATACAGAGAAACCCTGTCTCGTAAAAAAAAAAAAGATGGTTTTCTGCCAGGTGGTGGTGCGAGTCTTTAATAAGAGCACTTTAATAAGGCAGAGTCAGGTGGATGGGTGAGTGAGGCCAGCCTGGTCTACAGAGGGAGTTCCAGGACAGCCAGGGCTACACAGAGACACCCTCTCTCAAAAAAAAAGAGAGAGGAAAAGAAATGTTTTTCTATACTGAAAAACACACAACTCCCCAACAGTTTTTAACCTTAGAAATGTCTGCTTTAGAGAAGTCTGGAACTGCCCTGGGCCCTCCTGAGTGCTCAGCCACACACACCCAGTGCCTGGAGAACTTTGCTGCCCTTCACCTCAAGGGCAGCATCTTTAGCTCTTCATCTCCTTCCCCGCTTAATCTTCCTTCCCTAACTGGCGTGTCAGCTATTTCTACTACTGCAGTATAGGCAATGGCACTTAATTTTGTTTTACAAACAACATCCAAATAATAACAAAGTTGTTAGACACCAAGACCCCTGTCTGAAAAGTAGGTTAATAATTTTTTTCTGCCCAAACCTAATCATTCACAATTTTGTACATCAAGGACATATGATACCTTCAACTTTTGTTTTTGTTTCTTTGAGACAGGGTCTTTCTACATAGCCCTGGCTGTCCTGGAGCTCAGTTTGTATACCAGGTGGTTTCAAACTCACAAGAGACTTACCTGCTTTTGCCTCCCAAGTGCTGGGATTAAAGGCATGTGTAACCACACCCAGCTTAGACCCTCAACTTTTAAGATTATTTTACTGATTTTCCAAAAAGATTAATTAGTGGGAGTGAGTGCTGGGGACTGAACCCCAGTACCCTTTGCACATGGGCAATCACTCTACCACCAAGTTTAGATTTTAAAAACACATTTTACCCTGGATCTTAGAATAAAGATAGTCATTTATAACCCTCATTTTTGTTCCCTATCAGCATAATTTGTCCTCTCTATTTAGCAGAAAAGGATAAACAATACAAAACAGGGAGTTATAAAACACACCCCAAAACTGAAGGAAAAAATCCATATAAATATTTCCCATATCCTAGAACGTTTACAGAGCCCTGGGTTAGTTTTAACTGGAAAATGCTTAAAGTGTTTAAAGAGAAGGAATGATGAAGGCAGTAAGGGTCCAGAGCACACCATACGGAGACCTACAGTGTATCAAGGGTGAATGGGAACCAAATGCATTGTGAATGTGTGTGTATGAGGGTGTGATAATGAAACTATTGTGGTACATACATAATTAATATATACTCATAAAAACACTGTAACAAAGATGCTGAGTGTAGTGAGAAAGGGAAAATGTAGCAGAAAGATAGTCAAAATAATTTTTCCCATAGTCCCATAACATGATGGAATCACAGAGAGGTAAGTCTAACTTAAGGTTACTTAACCCAGTCATTTCTGCTAAGTTTACTACTGATATTGCAAATACAAAAAGTACACTGTAAGACAAAAAGCATAACTTTGCCTTACTGCACACGTGTCACTAAGCCAAAGGAACATCAGAGAATATACAGAAGGTCGCAGGCTACCTTCCCAGTGCACTGCAGGTGCTGTCCTGGCACGGAGAGGGAGGTCACGAACATGGTGAAGCAGCGGAGCAGGAACACAGTGCCCATCAGACTGCAGAGCCTGCGCAGAAGGATCGACCTGTGAGCAGACAGCAGAGCAGGGGTCAGACAACGCTCCAGCTCTCTAGACACACAGACAGCAAGGGGAAACCAACAGAAATATTCCCTCACTCACAAGCTCTGTGTTGAAAGGGAAACAAAATGGGTCAGTGTTTGCCTGGCCGGGATTGGAATTAATAATGAAAAGACAAGAGGGTGTTCTAAAATCTAGACTGTGGCAGTATTTGCTCACACGTTGTTTACTACATGTAGATCTGTAAGCTTAAAGGTAGAAAACATATTTAAATATATCTTTGTAAAGCATGTATGTGGTTTTATCACACTATATACAAAGCAGTGGGTTTCATTATATATGTGTCATAATATTTTATTTTAATTTGGAGGAGAGGATCTTAGGAAACCATCTAACATGGAATCATCCATTAGGGTTCTGGAGTGATGGAGATGGTCTACATACCGTGGAGCCAGCTAGCTACAATTGGCACTTGAGCACCTGGAAGGAGGCTTACATTAATAAGATCTGTATCTAATACTAATTAATTGAAATTATAAAAGCCACATACAGCCAGTACAGATCTGAAAGAGCACTCTTTTGGTGGTAAAATAGTACCATACAAAGTGGAGGGTTTTTCTTTTTCTTTTTCTCTTTCTTTTTTTCTGTTTTTTGAGACAGGGTTTCTCTGTATTGTTTTGGAAGCTGTCCTGGAACTCGATCTGTAGACCAGGCTGGTCTTGAATTCACAGAGATCCTGCCTGCCTCTTGTTTATTTATTTTTCAAGCCAGACTTCTCTATGTAGGCTTGGCTGTCCTGGAACTTGATTTGTAAACCAGGCTGGCCTCTGAGAGCTGCCTCCTGAGTGCTGAGATTAAAGGTGTTCACCACCACCACCACCACCACCCATCTGAAAGTAAAGTTTTCAAGACAAAAGTAAAGCCTGGAAGCTTTAAGTAATCCTGGGAAGCTTAATATTAGTACTATTACTCATAATTTACTCAAAGAAAATTAAGGGTTTTTTAAATTGTTTTTTTAATTATGTGTAGGTATCCATGCTTGCCTGTGGGTGCGTGAATGCAAGCAGGTATCCTTGGAGGCCAAAGGTGTAGGATTGCCTTGAATCGGAGTTACAGACAGTTGAGAGGCATTCAATGTGGGCACTGGGTACTGAACCCCAGCGCTATGAAGAGCACCAAGTGCTTTTTACCACTTTTGAGAGTGCCTTAAGTTGTTTATAGGAGGGCAAAGTTAATCACTTGAGATTCTACTTTTGCTCATTAAGAGCACTAAAATGGTTCACAAGAATACCTATATGATGGCCAGACGTTGGTGATGCACGCCTTTAATCCCAGCACTTGGGAGGCAGAGGCAGGTAGATCTCTGTGAGTTTGAGACCAGTCTGGTCTACAAGAGCTAGTTCAGGACAGCCTCCAAAGTCACAGAGAAACCCTGTCTCGAAAAACCAAAAAACACACACACAGAAAACGAAACTGTTTTATATTAAGTATATCTTAAACAGAAACTTTGAGGAAGCATAATTTGAGTAATAAACTGTGATATCATTTGTGCCCTAAATAGAAACAGACTAAGAGTTTGGGGTACTTTCTCTCAAAAGTGGCACTGAACACAAGACAAGGTATGAGTCTTCAGTGTGCACATCTGGATGGAGCTTAGGAAGCGCAGCTCAACAGACTTTCAGAGGGTTCCAATCACAAGTAATACAAAGATGACGCTTGAAAAACTCCTGCTTGGACTAAGGAAGCATTGCCTCCTGGATTTATCTACTTTAAGTAAACACCACTACTTGGATTTACCTGGTCACTACTATGCTTCACCGAGTCTACCAAGGTTTCTTCTAAGGTGACATCTGTTCTTATTTTCATGAGTGAATAGGTTAAGTCCATAGGAACTTGTGAGTCAAAGTTAGTCAGAAAGCAGTGATATACATGCTTTTAAACCATTTCATCTTAAAATAGGAGTGCATACAAGACACACTGAGAAATGTGGCAAAATGGCCTAAAAAATATGGCCTTAAAATGTGACAAAAATAGCAGTTATCAACCTTTCTTTTCACCTTCAAAGTACAAAAATAAACACAGCTCAGGATGTATGTGGCTACCACAGAACTTCCTGGTGAGGAGAGAGGTCCCTAATTGCAAGACAATACCCAGTCATTCCTCCTTAGAGTTCTAAAAACAATGGGCAGCAGCTAACCACAGACAGTGTTTAATGTTTTCTTCATCACTAAGCCTTATTTTCTTTCCTTTTTTTTTTGACATCAAGCAAGACTGTTAATATAGAAAAGGAGTCTTCCTACCCTTCTGCCTTCCTTGCTCTATCTGTCTGTCTGTCTATTTATTTGTTCATTCTTTATTATTTGCTTGCTCATTTATTTGTTTATTTATTGATTGATTTTTCTAGACAGGTGCCTCTGTATAATAGCCCTGGCTGTCTTGGAACTTGCTCTGTAGACAGGCTGGCCTCAAACTCACAGAGATCCACCTGTCTCTGCCTCCCTAGTGCTGGGATTAAAGGCATGCGCCACCAACATCTAGCTGCTGTGTTTATTTATAATAATAAATTTTAAAAGTCTTCCGTTGGTATTCTTTGGTGAAAGTGACAAGAAGCAGTCTCCCCATTTAGCAACTTCACCATCTCAGATGTGCAGAGAATGCAAGAAAGCCTTGTTTAACAGGCATCCCTCCTTCAATCACACACTTAACCAAACACTGTCCTTGCAAGCACTTCTATCTTCCTACAGAAGTGCCATTTCTACTTTGTGTCAGAGGAGGAGGAGGAGGAGGAGAAAGCTAGACTAGTAAGAATTGGCTCAAGGCTTACTATCCTTTTCCCTATAAAATAAATTCACAATATACTAAATATACTGGTCTTACAATCTTCCTTAACCCCAATTTTCCTCTGTAAAATGCTATGTCCCCCAGGGCAATGCAGAGGAAGGACCAGGCTTGACAACCAACTTGAGTCAGACATTTTCAGTCTTTAGGAACAGGGATACCTGTGCTTGTGAAGAAGAAGAACCAGGATCCAAATGTAGCACAGAATCATGCCACACACTTCAGTCATGGAGAAGGCCCACGGGATCCTGGGAACACTGCAACAGAAAAACAGTTCTTTCTGGAGCTGAAGGCAAGCAGATGCACTCCTTTTCAGTGCAATGCTTTACCCTCAGAACTGCTCAATAGAACTTTACCTCTCTCAGGAGATGAATGCCTGGGGTTAAATCAGCTACTTATCAGAATCTACTGTCACTGACTTCCAGTAATGATTCTCAGTAAAGAAACAACAACCCATCTCTCCCAGACTATAGCATTCAATCTCAACCCCTACCCGCCCCCAATGGGTTTCTCTGTAGCTTTGGAGCCTGTGCTAGAACTCACTCTGTAGACCAGGCTGGTCTCAAACTCACAGAGATCCGCCTGCCTCTGCCTCCCGAGTGTTGGGATTACAGGTGTGCACTACTGCCTCCTGGCAGTATTCAATTTCTGAAATTATTTTATTTTTAGGTGTGTGTGTGTATTTGTGCCCGCACACGTGAATACAGGTGGTCAAGGAAGCTGGAGTTAACTTGGCATGGGTGTAGGTCTTCGGCAAAAGCAGGACACACTCTGAAGCCTCTGAGCCCTCTCTTCAGCCCAGCACCCAATTTCTTAAACTGTGGGTTATAGGACTGAATGAGGAAGGGAATCTGCACAAAATTAAGTAAAGAAAGAAAGAAAAAATGGCTACAGCAAAAGGTTTGTGAACTTGGAACAAACAGAAACCAACTCATCATCCAACACGTTGAGTCTGAGGTGTTTCTGGCAGTGCCCACTTCCCGCTCACGGCACTGCACAAATTTCCTGCAGTCTTGGTTCTCTTGGTTCTGAACACAACACACGCACTTCACACTGCGTGTCCGTGTCATCACTCCATACCACGCCAATGAATGCTGCCTGTCACACCTCAGATCCAAAGATAGCTGTTATGAACCAGTGTCTTTACTGTATAAACTCTTCTGCTCCGAGAAAAAACACTGCCTTCATTATAAAAACATGTAATTATCAACTTTCATATTTGCTGCTCCTCATCACGTAAACAACAAGTTATCAGACACTTGAGTTGTCTCAACACTGGGAAGGCAGGAGTAGGTGGATCTGTGAGCTTGAGGCCAGCCTGGTTTACAGAGTGAGTTCCAGAATAGCCAGGGGTACAGAGAAGCCCTGTCTCAAAACAAACAAACAAACAAACAAAAATTGCTACACGGATTTTGGCTCAGGATTAGAATAACATTTCCAACAAGTTCTAAATGGCCCTGAACAACTGCCATTTTGCATTACAAATTTATGTGAAGTGGTATTCTCAGAACTGAGGACCATATTAAAAAAATCTAAATACTGATTAACTCTGAAAAACACAGAAGATGCTATATCCTCAAGTATCAAATAATTAATTTTAATGTAAAAATAAACAATATTTTATTACGCACATCCGTCTTCTCAACTTTAATAATAGTAAAATTATATGCATGTCAAAGGAATTTTCTAAAAATAAATTTATGATATATTATCAGCAAATGTATGATTTGCTAGCACCAAAGGCATATGCCATGACACCCTTAAAAAAAAGCTTTGAAAATAATATACATATAAGCCAGGCATGGCAGCAAACACCTTTGTTCCCAGTACTCAGGAGGCAAAGGCAGGTAGACTTCCAAGTTGGAGACCAGCCTTGTCTATAGAGAGAGTTCAAGGACAACCAGGGATACATAGTGAGACCCTACCGTCAACAAGAAATACATACGTACAAACAAAAGTTGAATTTTACACATACTTAGATCAAAGCAAGTCTTCTACTTCTTCCCAAAACTAAACCGGATTACTGCTTCCCAGTTTTACGCTATTTCACTCCACATTACATCTTTTAGTAACACCCACACTCCTCTAACACATACACGCTCAACACACATGTGCATGCACACTTACCTAACACATACATTCACCTAGCACACACATGCCCCTATTTCCTTTGTACAAGCCTCTATTTCATAATTTTGCTTAAGAACAGCAAAATTAATATAAGCTTACAGTCATACAAAAATCATGATGAAACTCCTTCCTGTAAAACTTATAATTTTCTAGAACTAGATCTAGATCCCCCCCATTACTTTTATTTCTCTTCCTATGAGCTTGCCCTTTGCCCCATCACAGCAACCAGCCTTTGCTGTTGTAACCTCAACCTTGCTGTTACTAATATTTCTCCTCATACCTCCAATTTCAAGAATCTTATGCTTTAGGTATTACACACACACACACACACACACACACACACACACACACACACACACACACACATAAAATAAATCCCAGGTCAACCCTACAATTAGTACAACATCCTGCAGTACAGCCTCATCCAAATACGCCAAAGCCCTGTGATCAAGTGCTAAGTCCACTTCTTTGTAATCTTTTAATGACCTTACAGCAAAGATCTGTTTGTCTCCAATTCCCATTTCCTCCCATCACCAATGAATTTGAGAAAACCCTGATCCTTCTGAAAAAACTTACAAAAAAGTACTTAATACTCATCACTTAAATCATTCGATTATTTATATTGAATGCTTTTGCCATTTTCACTTAATTTCTCATATTTTAGAGCCCCCTGAAGTAAGTTACAGATACACCTCCTCCCTAACCACATGTATCTCAGAGAATAGGGATGGACCTTCAGATTCAGACCCTGAGAACTGCTGCATTGACTTGGCATCATCATTTAATATGCAATCCACATTCACACTTTGTAACTATCCTCAACACATCCTTTAAAACTAAATTTCTTGATTAGGATCTAGTTGCCATGTATTGACCTTGGTGAGCTGGGTGGTGGTGGCGCACGCCTTTAATCCCAGCACTCGGGAGGCAGAGGCAGGCGGATCTCTGTGAGTTCGAGGCCAGCCTGGTCTACAAGAGCTAGATCCAGGACAGTCTCCAAAGCCACAGAGAAACCCTGTTTCGAAAAACCAAAAAAAAAAAAAAAAAAAGAGAGAGAGAGACCTTGGTGTATCCCTTCACCGGCCCTCACAATCCCCTGGGTTTTGTTTACTATGACACTGACATCTCTGGAGACTCTAGATGAGCTATCATGTAGAAAGCTCTTTTTTGTGTGTCTATTTCCTCATAATCAGACTTAGGTTCAAATTTTCTGAGGGCAAGATTATTACTGAGGTGATGCTTTGAACATTATATCTAGTGTAGACTGCCAGCTTGCACTGTGATGGTTAAGATGATCTTTGTCAGTCCCAGCACTGTAAAAGTACCTGTTTCCTCTGCAATTAAGTAATGTGAAAGACGAAACCTCAATCATGCAAATATGCTGCTGCTCAACGGCTTTCCATCAAGTGGGTTTCAGCATACACTAACAACTTGCCTGAGTCAATTGCACACTGATGGACACAGAGGCAGCTTCACTTCACATCTATTTCTTGTCTGTGTATTACAGTCCATTCCTATCCCCCCCTTATAAACAGGAGGAATAAATAGTGTATTGGGTATACTGTAGGAGGTGAGCAGGCTGAGTAGCAACCAGAATACTATTACCTGTAATAGGTTGCATCCGTACAAGATCGCTTACAGATACAGCTTGGTGGTAGAGCACTTACCCAATATGAAATCGGCCCTGGGCTCAATAACCAGCAATGGAAACAAGGTCATACTTAGCTAACAAAAAGTTGTTGCTTATTGTTCTTTTCTTGTTTTTCATACCATAGACTATTTATTTCTGGTTTTTCAAGATAGGGCTTCTCTTTATAGCCCTGGCTGTTCTGGAACTTGATTTATAGACCAGACTGGCCTCACACTCATAGAGATCTGCTTGCCTCTGCCGCCCGAGTATTGGGAGTAAAGGCATATGCCGCCGCCACCATCCAACTATGCTGAACCTTCAGCCTCTGACTATTTCTTTTTTTTTTAATTTATTTTTCAGTTTAAATTTAGATAAGAAACAAGGTTGCTTCACAAGTCAGTTCCAGGTCTCTCTTCCTTTCCCTCCCTTCCTCCCGTGCCCACCCCCCAACTATCCCCTCATTTCCCCAGGGAGGGTGAGGCCCTCCATGGGGGTGTCCATAGTCTGTCATTTCATATAGGGCAGGGCCTAGACCCTTCCCCAAGAGTTCAGGGTGAGAGTGCACCTCACATTGTTGGATGGGAGTCCAAAGTCCGTGTGTATACTCGGGATGGGTACTGATCTGCTGCCCAAGGCTCAATAGATTACCTAGGCCTCCTCACTGACACTCACATTCAGGGAGTCTTGATCAGTCCCATGCTGGATTCCCAGGCTGATGCCTGGGATTCAAGAGTTAACCTTTGTCAGGTCAACTGTTTCTGGGGGTTAAACCAGCCCAGTCATAATCCCTTTGGTCATCAGTCCTCCCTCTCTGTTACTGGCTTTCTTGAGTTCAGCTCAGTACTTAACCGAGGGAGTCTGCCTCTTCTTCAATCAGCCACTAAATGAAGTTTCTGTTTCCCAGACTCTCTGGCCATGGGATTGTAGGCTGGCACTCCCCACATCTATGTCTAAAATCCATATATGAGAGAGTACATGCCATGTTTCTCTTTTTGTGACTGGGTTACCTCACTCAGGATGGTTTCTTCTAGTGTCATCCATTTGCCTGCGAATCTCAGGATTCCATTGTTTTTTTTTTTTCTGCTGAATAGTACTCCATTGTGTAAATGTACCACATTTTCTCTATCCACTCTTCGGTTGAGGGACATCTAGGTTGCTTCCAAGTTCGGGCTATTACAAATAATGCTGCTATGAACATAGTGGAACAGACATCTTTGTTGTATGAATGGGCATCTTTTGGATATATGCCTAAGAGTGGAGTTGCTGGGTCTTGTGGTAGGTTTATTCCCATTGTTCTGAGGAATCTCCATACTGATTTCCAAAGTGGCTGAACCAGTTGGCACTCCCACCAGCAATGGAGGAGTGTCCCCCTTTCACCACATCCTCTCCAGCATAAATTGTCGTTGGTGTTTTTGATTTTAGCCATTCTGACAGGAGTGAGATGGTATCTCAGAGTTGTTTTGATTTGCATTTCCCAGATGGCTAAGGATGTTGAGCACTTTCTCAAGTGCCTCTCAGCCATTTTAGACTCCTCTATTGAAAACTCTCTATTTAGTTCTGCAGCCCACCTTTTAATTGGGTCCTTTGATGTTTTGGAGACTTGCTTCTTGAATTCTTTGCAAATTTTGGAGATCAACCCTCTGTCAGATGTGGGATTAGTGAATATTTTTTCCCATTCTGTGGGCTGCCTTTTTGTCTTGCTGACTGTGTCCTTTGCCTTACAGAAGCTTCTCAGTTTCAGGAGGTCCCATTTATTAATTGTTGATCTCACTGTCTGTGCTACTGGTGTTATGTTCAGGAAGCTGTCTCCTGTACCAATTCGTTCAAGGGTACCGCCCACTTTCTCTTCTAAGAGGTTCAGTGTGGCTGGATTTATGTTGAGGTCTTTGATCCATTTGGACTTAAGTTTTGTGCATGGCGATAAACATGGATCGATCCACATTCTTCTACATGCCAGCCTCCAGTTATGCAAGCACCATTTGTTGAAGATGCTTTCTTTATTCCATTGTATATTTTTAGCTTCTTTGTCAAAGATCAGATGTTTGTACATGTGTGGGTTAATATCCGGGTTTTCAATTCGATTCCATTGGTCTACCTGTCTGTTTTTGTGCCAATACCAAGCTGTTTTCAGGACTATAGCTCTATAATAGAGCTTGAGGTCAGGGATGGTGATGCCTCCGGACGTTGCCTTGTTGAACAGGGTTGTTTTGGCTATCCTGGGTCTTTTGTTTTTCCATACAAAATTGATTATTGTTCTTTCAAGGTCTGTGAAGAATTTGTGCTGGGATTTTAATGGGGATTGCATTGAATCTGTAGATTGCTTTTGGCAGGATTGCCATTTTTACTACATTGATCCTACCTATCCAAGAGCATGGGAGATCTTTCCATTTTCTGAGGGCTTCTTTAATTTCTTTTTTTAAAGATTCAAAGTTCTTGTGATACAGGTCTTTCACTTGATTGGTTAGCATTACCCCAAGGTATTTTATGTTGTTTGTGGCAATTGTAAAGGGTGATGTTTCTCTGATTTCTTTCTCAGCCCTTTTATCATCTGTATATACTAGGGCTACTGATTTTCTTGAGTTGATCTTGTAGCCCGCCACTTTGCTGAAGGTGTTAATCAGCTGTAAGAGTTCCCTGGTAGAGTTCTTTGGGTCACTGATGTAAACTATCGTATCGTCTGCAAACAGTGAAAGTTTGACCTCTTCCTTCCCAATTTGTATCCCCTTGGTCCCCCTTTGTTGTCGTATGGCAATAGCTAGAACTTCAAGTACCATGTTGAAAAGGTATGGAGAGAGTGGACAGCCTTGTTTTGTTCCTGATTTTAGAGGAATTGCATTGAGTTTCTTTCCATTTAGTTTGATGTTGGCTGTTGGTTTACTGTATATAGATTTTATTATGTTTAAGTATGTCCCTGTTATCCCACATCTCTCCAAGACCTTTATCATGAAGAGGTGTTGGATTTTATCAAAGGCTTTTTCAGCATCTAGTGAGATGATCATGTGATTTTTGTTTTTCAGCTTGTTTATATGGTGGATTACGTTGATGGATTTTCGTATGTTGAACCATCCCTGCATTTTTTATACTTACTAAGTTTTATTCAGTATGTAATAAAAATAAAATCAATCCCTGAATTAGTTTGTACTACTGAGAATAAATTTGATTCATCTAGTGCTACTTTTAGAAAAGTAGAACCCTTTCCATCATTTAAAATACAATTTTTTAAAAAAGAAAGAAAGGCATCTAAGCCTATTACAAACATCCTCCTAACATAACATCCTTTACAAATCGCCCAGAGTTGAACCTGTGGTCCACCTACCTCAGTTTCCAGAGTACAGGTATGTGTCACCATGCTTGGCAAAGCACATCCTTTGATGGCACCAGACAAGGCAAATGGAATATACATGTCAGCTATCCACATCGAGAAATAAAACCTACCTGTCTAAGAATATATCCGGGAGTGGTGGATAGGTCTGCATGTCAGGCACTCGCTCGTGAACAATGACCATAATGAAAGATGTAAACCCGAATACTATAAAAACATATACGCAACTCAGTATGGTCTTCCAGTACTCTGGGTCCAGTCTTCGAACAGAGTGTTTGTTTTTGCCGTTCATGTACTGATACTGATCAGAACTCAAGTCAGTGATGGGTCCATCACAGCCGTGTGTGGGCTCTCCGTTACAGAGCCAGTCTGCACTCTGAAGAGCACTGATGAATGGGGTCATGGGACTCATAGGACTGTCACTGTTGTAGCCCATCTCCTCCAAAACATCAATATGGATTTTCTGCAACTTTCTGACTGAGAGCATTAACCTTTTAATGTCTCCTAGGACTTTGATTTCCAGAGGAGGAGATCGAAGGTCATACTCGGTCAGTGTGAGCAGTGTGACTCCATCGAGTCGGTGCTTGTTGCACAGAATGTCCACATACTCAAAGAAGCCTTCATCCTTCAGCCACACTGCCACATGTTTGGTGGTCCAGCGGCGGATGCAGAGCTGACTAGGGCCTGCCATCTCTTCTGCCACTGCCTGCCAAGGGAAAACAGGAAAACAAAACAAAAACTGTAATGTATTTCAACATTGTCATTAAAGACCAAATACAAATACACATACCCAAAACAATAAAGTACCTTACTGCCCCCAGTGGCTTCCACAGTTAAAGAAGCAAAAGTTATTCAGTAATAAGTGATTTCAACAGATTAACATCCTAATAATTTTAAGAGGCTGATGGCAGCTGTTTGGTTTTATGGAGGACATCGTTGAACCCAGGACTCACATAGGATAAGGCAACTTTAACACTTTAGAGAAAGGTATTTACAAATGTAGTATTTACATTTCCACAGCATGTCAACAACGATCATGTCACTTTATCGATTCTTCTACATTCCCCTTCCCTAAGAGCTTACCACCGCTGGGTTCCAAGTCACTCCCATCCTTGGAGCATTATTCTTTAGCACAGTTTTATCTCAATCTCTGAGCAAAACAATCCTTCTCTTTCACATTTCTTCCCCCACATTAACTCACCAGTTCTTTTCACTTCAATCAAGCTGACTGACTGGCTTTGACGCCTGCCTAGCCACTAGGCAACAGGAGTTATAATGCAGAAGCCTCCTAGAAGCCTTTGAGCTTGCTGTGGGAATGCCTTGAAAGCATGACACATTTCACTGCTCTGTCTCATCAGGTTATACACGTCCTTTAATTGTGTGGTACTACATAATAGTTACAGGGCCACAGTAACCAGTACTTAGCTCCAACTGTGAGAACTTATATTAAAGAGGAATATCAAAAGTGACAGTAAGCGTCAGGGTTCATTTAATAGTCATGTTGTACTACAGTAATTCCAGGGAACACATAAAACTTTGAACAACGAATATGACCGACACTGGTTTTATACAAATCAATAAAATGAATTTTGGTGAGTAATTGATTCATATGAATTATCAGTAGAACTGCAGCTTCTGGCTAAGATATAAAAATAGAGTAAATTTTGCTCTTTGATTTGAAGTAATCAAAAGATCAATTAAATACATGAAAAGGATTCAAAATGATGGACATCAGCCAAATTCCTGAGAGACAGTAAGCAAAGGAGGTGGGCCTTGAAAGCTTTTTGGCTAGGAGAGGTATAAGACAAGAAACCAAGGTGAGTTGGGGCTTGGCAGACACGCTGATCTGAGCTGATCAAGGTGGCTGGGTTGTGGTGCTGAATGCTACAGAGACACTCGATGGAGAACTGCAGAGATAAGGGGTCTCCCTGGAATGCTCATCAGAACATGCATGCATCAAGATGGAGAAGAGACCACCATCCAAAGGGTCCCCAACCTCACACACGGGCAAAAAAAAGGTCAATTCCAATCAGATCGACCAACAGTTCACAATTCATGTGACTTTAGAAGAACACACAACAGCAGTGGAGCAAAACCATAGTTCTCAACTAAGGCTAATTCCCCTCACTTTCCAGGGATAGTCAGCAGTATGTCATTGTCACCACTCAGAGAGGGGATTACAAACGCATAGGAAGTAGACACCAGGGATTCTGGCAAAAATCCTATAATGCTCTCAGCTGAGGCTATACATACCTATAACTCAGCACTCTGGAGGCCAAGCCAAGATGATAGTGAGTTCAAGGCCAGAGTGAACTACACACAGAGAGTTTATCAGGGACTACATAATGAGTGAGACCCTCTGTGCTGTCTAATTTTATCTAACTTGACAGAAGCTAAGGTCATCTGAGAGGAGGGAACCCTGACTGAGCTGTGTGCAAACCTGCAGAGCACCTTCCTTCCTCTATCATCTCTTGCCTCCAGTTCCTGTCCTGACTCCTTTAGCGATGAACAGTGATGTGAAAAAAATAAGTCAAATAAACCCTTCATCTCCCTCCCAAAGGTACTTTGGTCAGTGATAACTGTAAGACACCCTCCCTCAAAAAAAAAAAAAAATCACATCTAGCCAGGTGGTCTACAGTTTCAGGTCCCAAAGCTACAGAAAAAAAAACCCTATCTGAAAAAACAAAACAAAACAAAATCTGCCAGGAATGGTGGTAGCATATGCTTTAAACTTAGCACTTACAGGACAGAGGCAAGTGGATCTCAGGGAAATCAAGGCCAGCTTGGTCCATATAGCAAGTTCTTGTAGGAATTTAGTAGAGTCTTTGTATCTGGGGTAGATATTAGAATGAATAGTTTTCACTGTATCTAAGATAAACATTAGAATGAACAGTTTTCTAGAAGTACTTTGACCTTAAAGAATCATTGTGGAAGCATTAAAGAATTTTTTTGGAAAACAGTGATCGTTTTCTGTGATGTATAGAACTGTATCGTGAGGCTGTGTCTTTTCCCTCAGAAACTAGATAAGGAAAAAATGAGGCCACTCCCTGAGAGAAGCCAGAACCCGGGTCTCTGGTGTGTCCTACTTTATTCCCGAGCCTATCCTCCTTCTTTCTCTTAACTACCTTATTTAAAATCTATGTGGAAAATATTTTAATAAAATCCCCAACTCTGAGGCTGGAGAGAAGGCACCACAGTTAAGAACACTTACAGCTCCTCTAAAGGACTAACGGTTGGATCTCTGCACTCACGTGGCCTCTCATAAGCATCTGTAACTCTAGTTCCAGGAGACTCTGACATCCTCTTCTGGTTCCCATGGGCACCAGGCACACATATGCTTGCAATTACAATACCCATTCACCTAAAAATAACTTTTTAAAAAAATTTAATCCCCCTGGTCTACAGAACGAGTTCCAGGACAGCCTCCAAAACAATACAGAGAAACCCTGTCTCGAAAAACCAAAATTTAATCCCCAAATGTGGAGGCTGCAGAGAGGGCTCAGTGGTTAGGGTACACAATGCCCTTATAAAGGACCTGGGATTCCATATCAGGTGGCTCACAATTGCCCGTAGCTCCAGCTCCTGGGATCTGATGCTCTCCACCAGCACCTGACCTCATGTGCATACCCCAGACAGATGCATATATGTGCACACATAAAATTAAAATAAAACAAGCCTTAAAAGCATCAGATCTGCTTCAGAGGGCCTCACTCTGAGATGCTTTTCTGCACAAACACCACTAATCCCAGTCTGGCCTGAGTTGAACTTTCTAAAAGATTTGGGGAACTCCTTGGACTGCTTGCTGTAAGTGACAAACTGGAACTGGGCCCCCTTCTCTGACACCCTCCCCCTTTTTTTCAAGACAGGGCTCTCTGTGCAGCCTTGGTTATCTCGGATCTTACTCTGTAGACCAGGCTGGCCTCTACCTCACAGAGATCCACCTGCCTCTGCTGAGATTAAAGGTGTGTGCTCCACCACCACCCGGCCTCATCCACAATCCCCCTGAAGCACTGGTGACTCCCTTCAAACAACAACTCCCTCCAATCTTTATGTATGGAATTACAGAAAACAAAATATCAAAAGGACCAGCCAGGTATGGCTTTAATCTCAATGCTCAGGAGACAGGTACACCTCTGTGACACCCGGCCAGCCTGGTTCTCATTGAGTTCCAAGCCAGCCACAGCCACACAGTGAGAGCCTGTCTGAAGAAAGGGGGAGGGGAAAGGTAAGGCAGAATAGAAAGACAGGGAAATTATGTGGGGAAGAAAAGAAATCCCTTACACTGAAGTCTTGTTGAAGCCTCCTACTCACTGATAAGTACGAATCTGGTACAATTGCCACTGGCTATAAAAGCTACTCAACAGACAACATCCCTTTCACATACAGATGTTTTATGTTAAAGTCACAAATGACCAGGCATAAAGCGTGAATGTGTCTGAGCCCTGGTAGAGTCTCATTCCTTTCCCTAGAGAGTTTTCAGGAAAGGCATCCTATGATCTAGACTCCTACCTTATCAATTAGAATCTTGTCTACTGTCCTTCAGGAAAAACACTGTGATCTCTTTCGGTTTTTTTGCAACCCTCTTTGATAACTGCTTCAAATTCACCAAAATCCCATCCATGAGTGTTGTAGGGACAAAGAAGCAGCTTTCAGAGAGACTACACCCACAGCCTTGCTTTCTTCCTGAGCTCCTAGCCCTCCTGCTTAATTACCATCTATAAACCTCATTTAACCTAACACAAACTCCCACGCTGCTTTAAAGAGGGGAAAGGAGGGGAGGGGAGGGAGGGGAGGGGAGGAGGGAGAGGGAGAGAGAGAGAGAGAGAGAGAGAGAGAGAGACAGAGAGACAGAGAGACAGAGAGACAGAGAGACAGAGACAGAGAGATTAGGCCCAAAGTAAAAGGAAGCAATAGAGATGAGAACAGACATTATTAACCAAAAGGCAGCAAGAAGGCTCTGGGGGTGAAGGCACTTGCGGCCAAGCCAGACGACCTGAGTTTGATGCCTGGAAAGACAGAGCAGTTGTCTGCTGGCCTCCATCCACATGAATGCCATGACAGTCCCCACTCCCTGCCATAGTAAATGCCAAAAAGAAAACAAAACCTTTCAAGTTTTAAAGAAACTGGGTATGTAATATATTCTTACCAAGATTTCAGGTCCAGAAAAAGAAAGAAAGGAAGGAAGGAAGGAAGAAAGAAAGAAGGAAAGAAAGAAAGAAAGAAAGAAAGAAAGAAAGAAAGAAAGAAAGAAAGAAAGAGAAGAGAAGAGAAATGGCACCAGTCAGGCAGTGGTGGACTCAGGAGGCAGAGGCAGGCAAATCAAGGTCAGCTTGATAAACAGAGCAAGTTGCAGGGTGGCCAGGGCTCCACTGAGAAACTCTACTTAAGACAAACAAACGACAAAAACCAAACACCAATTCTCTACACGCCCTTCAAGGAAAAGATGTTTCGGAATTCATTCCTGACAACAAAATCAAGGAGATGACAAGAAAATAAAACCATGAACTGTTATTGCTATCCCTGATGTGCAAAGATACAAAAATTCAAAACAAATTTAAGACATAAAATAACCAAGTGGAATCCAGAGGCAGAGGCAGGAGGATCTCTGTGAGTTCCAGGCTAGCCTAACCTACACAGTAGACCTTGTCTCAAAAAAGCAAACAAAAAAAAAAAGGTTTCTAGTATTAATGTCAGGTTAGCATGACT